CACTAATGACAAGAGGAGAACGAACTTAATTGATGTTAATGAACTAACTTTGCGCTAACAACCCCCTTCCACACCCTGCGGTATCACTGATTTCGGACGATGTGCAAGGGGTGATAAAGGGACGAGATGGAAGAAGGCGTGATAAAGGAAGGAGATGGAAGAAGGGGTAATAAAGGAAGGAGATGGAAAAGGGGAGATAAAGGGAGAAAGATAGAAGAAAGGATGAAAGGGAGAGGTGGGAAAGAAGGGGGTAAAGAAGAAGAAGAAGAAGAAGAAGAAGGAGAAGAAGGAGAAGAAGGAGAAGGAGTTGAAGAAGAAGAAAAAAAAGAAGGAAGAGGAGTAGGATGTGGATAAGTAGATTATATATAAACAAAAGAACAACTTGACCTACGACTGTTCGCATCAGCAATAGCACAGTTTCTAAACATGGACCTTATAATAAGTATATATTAGTGCTGAAAGTATCATTTTCAACAAAATAAAATCCACGCCGTAATTGCTACAACTAACAATACTTCTAATATAAAAAATGACAACAAAAATCCTGTTGCCAAATTGAAAACAATAGTAGTAAAGATAATAAGAGCGATAGTGCTGGTTTTATGTGGTGCTAGCTGCGACTGCAATTTCTGCTATTAACACGGTCTAAATACCAATAATAACAATAGTAGCAGTATGGTACAATGATAGTTAGAATAATATATCTAATGGTATACGACGATGGTGATGATAGAGATGACTGATGGGTGATTGCGTGATTAAGTGTAGTGGTGGTGACGGTGATGGGTGGTGATTGGTGGTTGGTTGGTGGTTGATGGTGCTTGGTGGTGATGGTTGGTGGGTGGTGATGGTGGTGGTTGTGGTTGGTGGTTGATGAGTTGGTGGTCGTGGTGGTGGTGATGGTGGTGGTGGTGGTGATGGGGTGTGATTTGCGATTGGTGGTGGTGTGGTGGTGGGCGGTGGTGGTGGGTGGTGGTTTTGATGATGATGATGATGATGATGAATGATGATGATGGTGATGATAAGATATAGATAGATGAAGATGAAGATAAGATATAGATGAGGTCAAAATGAGATGATGAATAGAGATGATGATGACACAGATGATTGAAGATGAACATGAACATTATGACCGCGACGATGAAGACGAGACAGACCCAACGAGCCAACAGACCAAACAAAGCCACTTCAGACAAGACGCAGACACAGACGACACAACACGAACAGACCAATCTAACGAATTCGGGCAGTTTAAAAATAATTCGGCGGGAGTCGTGTCGGAATTACGAAGATATGGCGGGTACGGATTCAAAAGTGTTTCCGGGGCACTGGGTTCGGGTCTTAAAAAAAAGAAAAAAAAATGATGGTTTTTACACACGGTGGGTATGCCAACAGCAATACATTAGATGCGGGAATCTGTAATACTGGTGACTGATGATGGTGATGATGAGTGATGGTGGTGGTGGTGGTGGTGGTGGTAGAGGTGGTGGTGGTAGAGGTGGTGTGGTGGTGGTGGTGGTGGTGGTAGTGGTAGTGGTGGTAGAGGTGGTGGTGGTAGAGGGTGGGTGGTGGTGGTGGTGGTGGTGGTAAGAGGTGGTGTGTAGAGGGTGGTAGAGGTGTGAGGTAGAGGTGGTGGTGTAGAGGTTGGTGGTGGTGGTGGTGGTTGAGTTCGGTTGAGGGTAGACGGGTGGTGGTGGTGGTGGGGGTGGTGATGATGATGATGATGATGATGATGATGATTGATGATGATGATGATGGTGGTTGGTGATAATGGTGGCTGTGGTGGTGATGGTGATGAGAGTATGATAATTGAGATGCTGATTCTGATATGATCTTGTCTGAATAATGATAATGACGATGGTGGAAGCAGTGATGATCATGGTGGTAATAATGAAGGCAGTAGTGATGGTGGCGATGATAATGTTGGAGGTAATGGTGGTGATAATGATGATGCTGTGAGGATGAAGTGGTTATGATGATGATTGATACGAATGATAGGTGAGTGGTGGTGGTAATAATGAGAGGCGGTGGTTGGTGAAGGAGTGAGATGATGGTGGATGGGTGGTGGGTGAAGAATGATTGATGATGATGATGATGTGATGAAGTGACTTGGATGATGATGGTTGGTGAGTTGGTGATGATGATGATTTTGATGGTGATGATGATGAGGTGAACTGAAAGAAGAGTGTGGGGAGAGGAGGAGGATAATAATAACCACAACGGCAAACAAAACAACATTAAACATACAGCCCTAAAAACCGCACCAAAGACCACAACAACCACAAGAAAATTACACAAAAAATAACCAACACCCGAACGCATACAACATACAACACACCATCCGCATACAACCTCAAACACTTCGCTCCTTAGGATCTACAACTGTTTCCCTGCCAAAACAGACGGCAACTAATCACTGAGTCAACAGAACCAGGCTGAGGTTTTGATTTCATTTCTAAAAACCCGAGTGAAAGACGGGGATTTTTTTTCAATTTTCCTTTTTCTTATTTGTTCTATATTTTTTGCAAGTGAAAGATATTCCTTTTCTTCTTTATTTTTCTTCTCCTCTTTTTCTCCTCCACCCCCCCTCCCCCCTCCCCCTCCTCCACCTCCATCCCCACCACACCTCCATCCTCCACCCCACCCACCCTCACCCCTTCCTCCACCCTCCATCCCTCTCCACCTCCATCCCCACCCCTCTCCACCTCATCCCACCCCTCCCCACCTCCTCCCCACCTCCACTTCCACCTCCAACCCATCCCCCTATCTTCTCCACCCCACACACCACCCTCCTCCTCCTCGTCCACCTCTACCCCCACCACTCCTCCACCTTCCACCCACACCACCTCCTCCTCCACCTCCATCCCAACCCTCCTCCACCTTAAGAAAAAAAGACGTATTAAGGGCCCACGCCCACGTGACCCAGCCCGACCTTCCTCCAATACCCAGCCTCCGGGCAATTAAGAGGCAAAGGTCAGGGCACCCGATGCGTATCAAATAAAGGTCATTTATCGGCTTGATGAGCTGCATTTTCTTTTTTTTTTTTGGTCGTGTTCTTGTCTGTTCTTCTCCTCATCATTCTTGTTCTTGTCTGTTCTTCTCCTCATCATTCCTGTTCTTGTTCTGTTTCTTCTTCTCCTCCTCCTCACCCTTCTTCTTCTTGTTCTTCTTCTCCTCCCCCTCGCCCTTCTTCTTTGTCTTCGTCTTCTTCTTCTTTTTCTCCCTTCTCCCTTTCCTCCTCCTTCTTGTCTTCTTCACTTTCTCCTTCTCCTTCCCCTCCTCCTTTTCTTATTCTTATTCTTATTCTTCTCTCTTTCCTCCTCTTTCTTCTACCTCCCTATATGGTTGCTTATTATGTGATCAACGGCGTCTATTATAGACCTCTTTCTCATTAATTAAGGACATCTGTACAAGCAGCCCCCCTCACGTGGGCATATGCACGTGTATATGTATGCTTATTTATGTAAGCGGGTGTTAATATGATAAATGAACACATACATTCCTACATAACAAATATACATTCCTTTATATTTAAACACACAAAGACACGCACGCACGCACGCACGCACGCACGCACGCACGCACACACACACACACACAAATATAAATCACCAAATACCTCATACGTCATAGCGTGTTCTCTTCGGTACATAACCCTCCCCTTCCCTCACATCTCCTCTCCTTACTCTTCTTCCATATCTTCAACGTCCTCCTAATCCTTCTTCTTCATCTCTATTCTTCATCTCTTCCTCCCTCTTCCCCCCTCCTCCTTCCTATCTTCCACCTCCCTTCTCTCCTTACCTTCCCTCCTCTCCTTCTACCTTCACCCTTCACCCCCTTCCCTACCGCACCCCTCCCCGCCATGAATCACCCTAAACTTGTCCTTGTGTGGTAACTACGTATACTATTCTCGGCTACTTCCTTGAGTAACCATTCTGTTTTTGTTGTTGTTTTTTCCTTGTATTCTTAATTATTACTTTTTTTGTGCCGCCTACGAAAGTCTTGAATAATAATGAGATTAATCATTACTTTGCATATTCTTCAATAGTTGTTTAAATGCGAAGTATAGATGTATTTTTGACAAATGCTAGAAAAAAGAAAACGTTTTATATAGAAAATCTACATTTTCCTCTTTACTAACATCGTACATCATCAAATTCCACAATAGCGAATAAATAAACATTCTAGCATTTCCTTGTTTACGCAAGCAAGACTCATTTCCACATTTTAAGGTTAATGGCAACAACACGAGCATAAAAAATCCACAACTCAATGCGACATTAACATACGTAATTCCCCGGGACGTTCAACAAATTCTCTTCTGGTACCGAAGCTTACCAGGAGCTATTTTTAATCACTGTCATTTCAAAACTGTCATATGACGTCATTATACAAGATGTCGATTCACTAGATACTTTCCTAAGCCACGTTGGGATTCTCATATAGCCGTTTCGAACACCAATACCAATAGATGATCACAAAAAAAGAAAAAAAAATCCATTGATAAAACTGGTCTCAAAAAATGGGGGGTGGGGGGTGTCGAGACGGCTGTGTTCCTTCTAACGGGGTCTTAGGTAACGGGTGCGGTATTCCTTGTAGTGTATGCGTGATTTAATCTTCATAGATTAACACTCCTTGTATTTTCCACATGACCGTATTTGAAGGTGAAGGTTATAGGCCTACGTTCCCATTAGGCGAGGAAGAGGCTGCAACATCCCGAGAAACTGGATGCTTGCAGACAACAACACAGGCCGACACGGAGCCTTCTCATAGTGAAGTTTTATCTAATCACAGTCTCTTGCTTGGGTCTTGACAGCGTTACTGGTTGTCTGCAATTGCATGACGACCCGTAGCTGGTGCACAACCCACCTCTAGGAAACCAGAATGAAAATCAACTGAAAATCTCACCCAGGCTAAACTGTGACGTCATGTGTTGTTTGTAAACAGAGAGAACGTGACTATCTAACTCACCCAACAACCGAAGGCGCCACTGAACTCACCTCAACTAGAATCCTCATCCGCTACTCGTACATCGTGACAGTGTAAATCCAGAAGTCTTGTAATTATGGGTTGTGATTTAAAACCTTTTTTTCCCACGGGAAAATCTCGGAATCAATACTGATCACTCGTTCACCACGAAGTCCGTCATCAGGTATAAAAACTAGAACACTACGGCTGCCTTGCGGAAACAAAGGAGGAACGACAGGAAAGGAAGCTAAAAGGGAGGAAGCTTTACATAAACAACACGACTAGTGTGTGCGTGACCAAGGGTCGCCGAGAGAGCCGGAGAGGGATGCTTCCTCTCACAGTGTCAGAGGCAGACTGAGGTGGCAGACTCGTTCTGAACCGCTGTCAGACGCGGGTGCCAGTCCTCGAGTTGCCACGCAGCCATTCTCTCACTCTTTTGTCCACTCCAGGCCCACTAGAGTGCTTGTCAGTGCCACAGAGAGTGTTGATAGGGAATGACACTCAATAATGGCCGTCTGCTTGCTTGAGGAGATTTGAAATCCATTGCAATTGAATATTGGTGTTTACGTGGTGTTATGTATGGATGCCATATTGCTCTCGACAGTCTGCATATTTTCTGCATGTATTTACGCGGAGAGTAGATATTGCATTACTACATTATCCTAGGTAAATTTAAGCCAAGACATGGGATATTTACACTTAACGTATTAACCTGAAGACGAACAAGCTATCAGGATAATCCATTACACTCAGAAAAAATACATCGCTGTGAATTCACGAGAAACCTGAATACATTCGCGACTCATATAAACAACCTCATAAATATTAAAGACGAGAGAAATACTTCGCCTTTTCCGAAATTAGCTGAAAAAGTAGGGCCTGAAATGTCTTCTACGCTAATAATCCGCCATTTTTTTACTTCCTCATTCAAGTTAGAAGGTTAGTAGGATGAATCACGCGAATCGAGCCGTTATTCATGCCTATCTTGTAAGCAGTTCATTTCAGACTTAAGAGAGAGGAGAGAGAGAGAGGGGGGAGGAAAGTGAGAGAGAGAGAGAGAGAGAGAGAGAGAGAGAGAGAGAGAGAGAGAGAGAGAGAGAGAGAGAGAGAGAGAGAGAGAGAGAGAGAGAGAAACAGAGAGAGAGAGAGAGAGTGAGAGAGAGACAGAGAGAGATAGATAGGTAGAGAAGAGAGAGAGTGAGAGAGAGTTTATTTGCACGTTTCTGATATTTTCTTTTTTGAAAATCTAAATAATCCTGGTTTGTTTACCCGTCATTGCGAGTAACATGAAAATGATATCGTTTTATCTGCCGCCTTCTTAATGATCTGATAAACATGATAGATTAGGAATACCCATGGGAATGAAACTATTTATATATACTAATTTTATATACAAGAGGAGAGAGAGAGAGAGAGAGAGAGAGAGAGAGAGAGAGAAGAGAGAGAAGCGAGAGAGAGAGAGAGAGTGAGAGAGAGACAGAGAGAGATAGATAGGTAGACGAGAGAGAGAGAGTGAGAGAGAGTTTTATTTGCACGTTTCTGATATTTATCTTTTTTGAAAATCTAAATAATCCTGGTTTTTTTACGCCGTCATTGCGAGTAACATGAAAATGATATCGTTTTATCTGCCGCCTTCCTTAATATCTGATAAACTATAAACATGATATGTTATTAGGAAATACCCATGGAATGAAACTATTTATATATACTATTTATATACATCTAGAGAGAGAGAGAGAGAGAGAGAGAGAGAGAGAGAGAGAGAGAGAGAGAGAGAGAGAGAGAGAGAGAGAAGAGAGAGAGAGAGAGAGAGAGACTAAGAACGATAATAAGCTAAATACAGACTTTTTGATAAATGGTTAATCAAATAGAGAGAGAGAGGAGAGAGAGAGAGAGAGAGAGAGAGAGAGAGAGAGAGGAGGAGAGGACAGGACAGACAGACAGAGAGAGGAGAGAGAGAGAGAGAGAGAGGGGGGAGGGGAGGGAGGGAGGGAGGGGAGGGAGGGAGGGAGGGAGGGAGGAGGAGCGAGAGGGAGGGAGGGAGGGAGGGGAGGAGGGAAGGGGGAGGGAGGGGAGAGGGAGGGAGGGGGGAGGAGGAGAGGGAGAGAGAGAAGAGAGGGGAGAGAGGGAGAGAGGAGAGGGAGAGGAGAGAGAGTAGAGAGAGAGAGAGAGAGGAGAGAGAGAGAAGGGAGGAGAGAGGGAGGGAGAGAGGGAGGAGAGGAGGGAGTAGAGAGAAGAGAGAAGAGAGAGAGAAGAGGAGAGGAGAGAGAGGAGAGAGAGAGA